TTTTTAGCTAGCAATCATCTTTGTTAATTGTGCTATTTTCTGCCTTTAACATTGATTAAATCCTTTGTATCGCTACAAAAGCACTGCAAACCGCCTAATGAAATTTCAAGGAATTTTCAAGGAAATTATGTATACAATCTAAGGAATTTAGGGAAATTTTGATGATAAAAATGAGAAATTTTGATTTTTAAAATGGAAACACTGAAATACAGGCTAATTGTATGGGATTTTACTACATCCCGGGCGTTCTTTGTCAGTGCCCGCGATCACAATTAGTATTATCAGCGGTATATGATGATAACATCGACTGTTTCCTGAAATCACAATGTTTGAAAGAAAACATCTTAAAAGCCAAATATAAATTATATAATACTCGATGTGAATTTATAACTTGATTAAACTGTAACAGTTTGTCAGCATGTTAATCTATATTTCAAGATATCAGTTTGCTTCTAGTCAGTTTATTTGATCCAGACATATTGCCTTTTAATTTTTTGACAAAACTGTTTATGTTTTAGCACTAATTTCACAGATCTTATATGAGCTAGTAACATTTATAGCAGCTCAAATAAAAAATAACCAAGTGACTGGACAGACGGGAGTTATTTCGCATTTTGTAGCAATATAAAAACTTTTGTTTGCGGTAATCTTCACCAAGTTTGTCGTTAGCTCAAGCGGTAAAGGCGCTGCGTACCGAAAGTGAAACGCAGTCGGGGTCGGGATCGATGCCGAACATTTATTATCTGATTTAGCTCTTTTTCTCAATTTTTTGTAATTTTTTTCTTCCTTCCTTTTTTAACTCTTAAAAGTTAGGCCGGTTAGTGTTTGGGATCGGTATAAAATCTAAAGTGCTTTAAAAAAGTTTTAATCTTTTTTTATCTGGTTGAAAATGTTTGAATATTGAGTTGCGAACTCAACCGCTGGTAATTCTAATTGTGATCGCGGGCACTGACAAAGAACGCCCGGGATGTAGTAAAATCCAATTGTATGACTTGTATGTAGCAGTGGATCATTTATTAAATCTTTCGTTAAAACCTTGGGTATATGCTTGAAAGAGTCTTTATTACCTAACGAACTATTATATTATTTGAAGAGATTTCCCGTTGAAGTAAAAGCAGACAGTGTATGATGTAAGTTTCTTGATTATCTCTCTGTAATACCATGAACTCTTATCAAGTAAACTCATAAATATTCAATATAACATGTAGAATCTGCCATGCTTTAGAGCTTTAATGAGGATTTATACACCTCGTCTCCAAATATCCCCCCGCAATTTTTGTCTTTAAATTTAGACAATCATGGAAATAATATCCGTAGACTTTTTTAAAACGCATCTTGTCTTACTATTTTGTAAAGCCATTTTATTTTTAGTTAATACAAACGTCCATGATCGCTAGAAATATAGTAACTCTCCTACCACAATGTTGGTTCAAACCATGGTTATTGGACCTCAAACCAACATTGTAAAGGGGGAGGGGGGGAAATTGGGAAATTTTTGAAAAGTTTATGAATTAATTTCCATGATTGTCTATAAAAGTATGGCACTTAGTCATTTTCGACCCAGAACAAAGGTTACTACATTATAATATCTGATTCTCTTTTTGACTGAAATTACTTTATTTACCTTGTGCAAGGTTGCTGTGAAATTTTTTTGCCGGGGGGAGCATCAGGGGGGTGTGGGCAAACTGTTTAGCGACGGGATACCTTAAAGTATTTAATTTTGACCGTTTCAATATGTTAAGTAAGTTATGACATAAAGTTTGCTTTCGAGTTCCTTGAAATATATTTGAAGTTTACATATACATCTAACCGTATCAATTTATTTATATAATCGTTGCTGCTACAGCTAAATTATATCCAAAATTTCATTGCATTTATGCGGTTGAAGTTTGTGTGGTAATAATAATCTGCATAACAAGACATGCAATTTTTCTATGAATATATCTTATTATGGAAAGTGTAATACTGCTCATTTGTTGATTTCAACTGTAGCAGCGACCCAAAGGGGGATCGAGGGAGGTGGGGGTATTCCTCTACAGCCTCTTTGCCTTACTAACCAACTCTATTTTACCAACTAATTTGCCAACAGGTCACGGTTTTTCCTACATAATCTCCATTTTTCCGACAAGCTTTCTAAGAAGTGGGGGGGGGAGGGTCACACTCCAACATACCCCGTTCGGTAACCCCTGTGTAACAGAGTAGTGCTTATTTCGTTGTAACAGTAAATCGTTATAATTATCATAGAAGGAAGAGTGTGAGATATGATATAAACAAATTTTAAATAGGGACTGCACATGTTACCACATGTTACTGTACATGTTACTGCACATGTTACTATGTATTTATTATATTTTAGTATACAATTTGAACAAGTTACTGATGTTTTTTTATAATTATTAAAGTATATATACTTTCTATAATGTACAGCAGTAACATATAGCAACATGTTGAAAATTTCAACATGTTACTACATGTTACTGCTGTTTTTTATATAAAGTACATGCTTCTATTTTTATAGAAAACAGCAGTAACATGTAGTAACTTGTTGAAATTATGTAGTAAAATATAATAAATTGATTGTAACATGTGCAGTAGCATGTACAGTAACACGTGGTAACATACGAAGAATTTATTTAAAGAATTATATGGTAAAAATGTAGTACACTTATAGTAACATGAACAGTAACATGTAGTAACATGCAGTAATTAAATGATAAAGAAACTCTTTCGTTGCTAATATTTTTGTCCTCAGGTTTTCTGGGGTCAAATTCTTTCCTCAATGTTTAATCGCAGCCAGGAGTTTGGTCTAAATATTAAATTTTTAACCTTGCTTGGATTTACTTCTTTTCATGTTAATTAACCTTTGTTCCATCCTTGGGGAACACTGGTACAGGCACACAGGCAGGGGAAATATATTGCTTGTTGTAAGCATAGTTGATCTTATACACTACAAGTACATGATTACATGCTTACATGCCTCAACTGTTCCAGCTGTTCAAGGATACATATATATATCCACACTTTTATATGTGAGTCATCACAAATCCTTTGTGATGGACATACTGAGCTCTACAAAAAATGTCATGGTCTTGTCAATGGGGCATTTGGCAACATAAATTATATCAATAAATCCACTCATCCAATATGAGTAGGCCCTCTCGTATTTGCTAATATATTTGCTAATATATTCAACATCCACTGCCTTTACTCGTAGAATGTAGCATTCCATTGATTCCATCATCAAGATGTGGCCATGTTTGAATGTCATCTTTCCAATATTCATTGAACAGAGTGTTAGGATCGCTCTTAATAATATCATTAGTTTGTAGCCTTTGTTGGTATTCCTTCTTAATTAATACTATCAAAAATTTGTTCCTGCGTAAATTTCTTTGGAGCACCCAATTCATACGCTTTAATGCTCTTGCCACAAGTTCAACCTTTTCCCACTCTGTCAACCCAACGAAATCCTCGTATTCAAGCTTCTCCTTTGTTGCCATAAACAGCCAAAGTAAAAAGAATATTTGCAATATAATCTCCAATGAGAACATAAAATATAAACAACTCAAACTCTCAATATCTCTCAATATATACCCTTTGGATTCGCTTACTTTTATAAGTTTATCTCTTTAATAATACCCATGTCATATAAAGGTGAGATTGACATTGGTATCAGGTTACACTCTCGCACCTGGACGTCTTTCTTCTTTCCCGACAGCTTTGTTGTATTGTTTTTAAACATGATTCTTTTGTAATGTTGTTTTGTTTAAACAAACACAGACGTAAAAGCCCTGTCTTCGGCATTTCGTTGTCGTAAATCCACTGTAAACAGCTCGCCGAAAGGTGTTGAAGAAATCAGCATATTTACGGATTTCCCCCAATCAGATTCCATTGAAATCTTTACCAGTACTTTGAAAATACACACAGATCAGACAGAATACAAAAGTTTGGACTATCTTTTAATATATCATAAGAAAATCAACAAAATGTACACACAAAATTATCGCTCACTCATTAGTAAAATATATGGCAGCCATGGCTTGGCCGCGCGCTCGCCCCAATGTTTTGCACCCCCGGCAATGGCATTCTCGTACCCAGAGCCCTTCTTACGCGCGTTCGACCGAGCACGACGAGGGGCTCTGGCCAAATCCATAACCGGATACCATAAAAACATGGTATCCGGTTAAACACTGCGCATGCTCAACGTCAAACGCGGATAAGCACTTCGGCTTTCTTGTTTGTTTCGTTTTGAAAGTTTTTCTCCAGGAAAACCCCACAAAAGCGGTAGGTTTCGCTAATTTTATTTACTTAAATCAATTAGTAGGTAAGACGTGATGTTCCCAATGTATGTTGATAAAAATTTAGTATATATTTCCCTCTTAAACGTTGCCAAAGCAGTAATGGCTACGGATACGAAGACGAGAGATTGTCTCACTATTTTATATTCGATTTTACTGTCGCTGTTGTACAGATTTTTAGACTTTTTTGTGTTTTATTAAAAGTCAACAGTCATACATAAGACATACTATACTGCAAATCATTTGAAAATTGTAAAAAGTCGGTTTCTAGGAAGAAAATAGTCATCACAATTAACTTCATATTCTGGCTGGCTTTAATATTTTCTCTTCAGATGGCACTTCAGCTTTGAACATGTAACACAGATTTGTTTGATTAACATCACTGATTTGGAAATACGACGAGCATCTCCCATAAATATGCTGACTTTTTGCTACGAGAACATCACGTCTCAATCTATTAATTTCAATCAACTAATTGATCAGTTAAATAAATAAAATTAGCGACATCTACTGCTTTTGTGGGCGATTATCAACAACAATCTTCCTAACTGCTTCGTACTGCTGTTCTTTCAACTTTAATAATGTCTTTTCTCCCAATTTTCAAAGGGAAACCAACGCTTCGTGGAGCGCTTGTGTATTTTTATTCATATTTACTATAATAAACCATATATTTCGTTGTGACCAATCAGAAGCCAGTTTGATATGGATTTGGCCAGAGCCCCTCGTCGTGCTCGGTCGAACGCGCGTAAGAAGGGCTCTGGGTACGAGAATGTGGCGGAATAAACCTTGAAAGGGCCTATTGCTATGCGTATTTTATAATAATGAGAGGGATTGTCCTCATTAATGATAACAAGCCCCTGCTGTTCTTGTTTGAAATTAATTTCACAAATTACTTCCTCATTATTTGTTGACAAATTACTTCCTCATTATTTATGTTTTATTTCAAACATTAAGGAGATTATTCGTCGAGTCAGCAGGTACATTTTTTTCTGAGCCACAATGGGCAATTTAGTGTCACTCATCACAACAGGCGGTTCAATATCACTCACCACAACAGGCAGTTTAGTATAACTCACCACAATTGGCGGTCCAATGCTGTGCGCCTCGGAAGGCAAATCAATATTTTGCTCAGATCGACAAGTGAACGGTGAACTCATTCTCCAAACACGATACAATAACAAGTTTACTTTAAAGTTACCTACCATAACATTAATCTAATTTTTTTTAATGTAAATATTTATATGTTATAATATATGGGCAATAAAAGGAAAAAAAAAAGAAAGTTTTGGTAGGTCTCTCACGGACAAATACTACACGAAACCCGGCGGCAAATGAATCAAATGATAAACCCGATTATTCATCGCTTTTATTAATACATTTTGTCGCCTTAAAATAAAATATTTTAATGTCGTTGGTGACCATGCATGGAGTCAACTAAAGCCCGTTTCAAACGTCCAGCTTCTCATGCGCCGAACGCATTTACAGAAACATGCGAGGTCTAAAAGGTTTTTATAGGCTACAGTAAATTATTAAAGGCACGTACACCGCTTACCTCTAGACTTAACATCAAAACAGTCATTGCCTTGATTAATGTTCCCTCGGATAAAAATTGCCATAATTTGTAGATTGCTTCAGCGTCAGATTGTGTATTTCTTTAAAAGTATAGGAAAGCAACATGTGTGTGCATTATCCTGTAACTGCTTCCTGTGCGCCCGGCAAGCATAATTAATTTTCGTAACCCCCCTGAATTGCTGACATACAAACACAAAAAATCGAGATTCAAGCTGGTCTAGTAAACTCGGCGCGCGGAGACTGGTACCGTCGAGAATAGTGTGCTGCCTCGCTGAGATTCGGCCAGCAATTAAAATAAATAAAACAACGAAATATCTTTCAAAATGCCGCTTTTAATTACTTTTCCTCATGTGTCATCAAAAGCACTTAAGCTTCAACAATGAATTTCACGTTTGTAAATGAACACTAAGAATTTAACAACAGTATCTTGCACGGTCATCTAGAAATGATGGATAAATGGGTTCTTCTAAATTTCCACTTTGTATCCCGGGGCGTGGGTACTAATTCCACTTGGCTATTTACACCCGGGGAACAATCTCGTTCATAGCTCTGGAGAAATAGTGTTTGTATATACTGTCGTCTGTTGGTATTCATAATACATACAATCTCCTCAAGAACGAGATAATGTTTGCTGTGATTGTAAAGTGTGGACTTGTAATTGGTTTCTTTAAAACTGGACTAAAGGATTAAAATTCCTTGACACTGGATTATTGTCTATTGACATTACTTTCATGCATGTAGGCTATTTTTGTGCTTTAGATTTATACTCTCCTGTCAGATTTTATGGTATATACTATATTGAAATTTTCTAAATAATAACTTTATAAAATCATATAGTGGGCTAGAGGCTTTCTAAAAATCTGTAGAGGCTTTTATTATTTATTTAACTCACTAATTTTACAATGCGTGATCAATTATTAAGCCAAATGACGCTTATAACGTTTGTGAATCAGAATGTACGATTCTGTGTGAGGTGGCCCTGATTTGGTAAGCATCTAACTGACATGACTTTAAACGCATTGACATTTAGGTACTTATTTTAGCATATAGGTATTACTGCATTCTTCCCTGCTGAAAACATCCTGTGTCCAGCCCTGCCACTGTTAGTTGGACACTGGGCATAGCTAGGTTACCAGGTGAGGTGGATAGTTGAAATTTTAAGATTGCAAGCTCCTTATAGAACTAATTACTTCAAATAACTGTGGTTCACTGGGAAATCTCCATGCAGTATCCAGATACGATACACTATATATATAACTCTGAAAACATGAGATAGATCATGTTGTTCCTATGCATATATAGTTCCAGTGCATCACATCAAGGAAGGCTTAATTATATTTCCCAATCAAACTGTATGCCTTTAACCATATCTCCTCTATTAAGTTCCAAGTAGCTTACATGTATCCGGCATGCTTGAGGACTGTTCATTGGAAGAGGGGCCTGAGAGTGTGATTGAATTAGACAATCACAGGAACATCAAGTTTAATAATGGTAAACAGTTCAAGATAATTAACAAATCTATCCAGCGCACATGTATTTTTTTGTGAAAAAGAGGGGCGATTGGAGAGAGAGCATGTTAAAAAGGGTAGACTAATGTTTAAATCTTCAGGAAATTTCTCTGTCTGTCCGCTAAAGGTCTTGTCACACTATTGCGTATGAGAGAAACGTGTGAGAAGCGTATGAAAATTAATGAAATAATTTTCATACGCACAAAAATCCTTTGAAATGCCAGCGTATGAGTATCGTACATCTGGCGTACCTCTAGCGTATTCAGCGTGTGCCTAGAGTATGCTTATCGTATAAAGCATATACGTCCGATATGCACAAAATTTTTGAACATGCTTAAAAAAATTTTCTGCCTCACCGCGTATGCCAGCGTATGCGACCGTACGTGACCGTACTTAAAACGAGTCTACAGTCTATGCCTGACGTACCCCTAGCGTATGTCAGCGTATACCGGCGTATGAGTGATATTTTTCATACGCTGGCATACGCTAGTACGATACGCAGTAGTGTGACAGGGCCTTAAACCTACAAGGGCATAGGCAAGTTAATTTAGTATAATTTGTTATTTTCGCAGCCATAACACTGAGATCAGCAATATAAGAATATAATAGAAGTTATAATATAATGGAAGTTATAGAACATCAGCAGCAAACGTTAAAGTTTTACAAATTCTTTTTTAAACTGAATATCATGATAAAATTTTGGACTTAATGTTCGATACCTTTACTGTTTGTCTAATGTTTATGAGAAATCAGAAATATATTGCGCTCGTTTCTTCCGACGTAGAGAGCGCGATTAAGTAATAGAATATATTTTTAAACTATAGTAATTACGGGAACCACTCAGTATTTCATATAATGCAAAAGAACTGTAACTCCAAATAACATTTTGATTTATTTAAATCGACGTTTCGACAAAATTGTAGTGATCATCATTATACCCTAATGATGACTGCAAATTGCAATTAGTCGAAACGTGCAGTTCAATCGGAGTTGTTGTTCTTTTATATTTTATTATACAAGTAATGTCATAAGAAAATGCAACATCATATGCTTTCGACTAAATAAACAACATTAAAAAACAGCATTTGTGTTTTTCTAATTATAAGTTATATTGAGATTAACTTAATTAACAGAAGATGGCAGCTATATGGAGGGTGTGGTTTCTCTTTTTTCAGTGCTTTGCGACAAGAGGCCAATTTTTAGAAAGGGCGTCAAATACAGGCTGGGGCTTATAAAGGAAATGTGGCATACAAAACCCTCACCCCAAAGTAAATCACCGAAGTTTGTTTGTAGTTTTGCATGGTGATAAATTAAAAGTCTCCTTCTTTGTGCGAAAATTTAAACGTCTGAAATCAGCGGCCATGTTATTTTCATTTTGTTCCATAACGCATCATATGAGATTTTTATATAGCT